AGAAAATTCTCTATAAGGAGATTGATGGGATGCTTTCTTTAGGTGTGATCGAGCCATCAACAAGTGCATGGAGTTCGCCCATGAGACTTGTGATTAAGCCAAACAAACGCACAAGGCATTCTGCCTCGACTTCCTAAAGCACAAATGATTTCCGAAATTGATCTAAAAGATGCCTTCTGGAAAATCGGATTAACGGAACGTGCAAAAGCATTGACGGCTTTTACTGTACCGGGAAGGCCAATATATTAATTTGTAAATGCCCTTTGGGTTATGTAATGCGCCGCAAGCCATGCGTAGATTAACGGATGCTATAAGCCCAGATGACCTACGGCATTGTGTTTTCGGATATCTAGACGATCTCTGCGTCGATTCAGATAGTTTAAGAAATCACGTGGAATTAGCGATGACCTTTATGACCTTTAATGTAACCAAGAGCAAGTTTTGTGTTCAACAAGTAACTACTTGGGTTATGTTATTGGAAACGGAGGCATCGCTAAAAGAATGTCAGAGGATTTTTAGGTCTCGCAGGCGATTTATTGCAAACTTCTCGGAATGGACTTCTTATATCACCGAAACTCTAATATGCAAATAGAAGTTTGTATGGACTTCCGAGGCCTTTGATAAGTTGAAAGAAGCGTTTACTTCTCCACATGAGCTTGTAAATCCAGACATCATCAGAAAGATCTATGTCTATTGCGATGCGAGTGACTTCGGAATCGGAGCTGTCCTTGTAAAATTATCAGCTGATGGGGAGGAGCGACCCATTTAGCGGCCAAATTGGTCTGTAACACAGCGTGATCAGTGCTTTGCTGTGCTGGAAGCATTGGAAAAGTTTCATTGTTACATTGAAATGCAAGATTTCAAGGTGATTACATATCACTCGAGTATTGTCTGGTTAAGAGAAAAACTCAACTTAAAAGGACGACTAGCTTGATGGGCTTGATGGAAATTCCCAGTTTGTCACAGAAAAGGTAGAGATCATGTAGTACCAGATGCAGTTTCACGCATACCAGAAAGCGATCTGGCAGAAATAGTAGATGCAGGACCTGAAATCAACTTAGAGTCAAGTCATTTTTCAGATGAAAAACGGATTAGGTCTAACCAAAGCTGCTTAGCCGATGACTTTGTATATGCAAGGCGTGAACATGCTTTGGGTAATACGGAACAAGAAAACATTTCGTGGAAGTTATGGGTTCCTCATCAGATACGTTCAGAATTGATAAGTAGAGCACGCAATCCACAAGTAGCAGCTCATGGAGGCATCGGAAAATGATGATCATACTCAACGGGATATAAATCTGTCAAGTATTAGTTGTGCACTCCGAAACGGTATTAACACATCGATAGGAAAATCTCATTATCATGCTCTGTTTGGTGTAAACATGGTAACCCATGGATCAATATTCCAGCTGTTACGCAATCTAGATGATTATGTTACACTAATGACCCTGTCTTTGTCAAAACAAAAATTTGGATCAAGAATGTATATTCTTTAAGAATTGTAAGGCACCTGTTCGGCTAAAGACATTCGAGTCTGAACTCCCTTTTTCCGTTTAACTTTTTAATCCGAACAGAAAACCTACGGTTCAAGAGATCGTGTATTTCGTATCTGAATACGCGCTGAAAGTGCATAATTGACTTAAATTGGTATACGTCCGCCTACGGTTAATGTCCTGATACCTTTGTGTATTTCGCGTATATCGCAATAAATTCACAAGAAAAGGAAAACAACTGTTCTTGGGAGTTTTCTGGTCTCTGTGAGTATTTAATAACGCGCACCCCGTGCCCCGATCAGGAACGTCTTCTGATATTTTTTTTCCACATTAGCGTCAAAACATAGTTGGAAGCCCCGAGTGGTGACTCTGGACACAAAAGCACCGATCACGGGAGAGCTGTACAACCTAACCAACAAGAAAGAGCAGCTGTCAGCGAACCACAGGCAACAGTAATGGGTGAGTGAAGACATGTCTTGAGTATTGAATTTTCCATATTGTGCGTAGAATTTTGTACAGAACTTTTAACAGACAGTCATCACAGTGCAAAGTAAATTAAATCGTAAGTGAAACCAGTCCTACAACCGAATGGGAGTTTGACACGGAAACTAGATCTATAATTCTAGGTTTACATCAAGGTTCATCGGTCTTGTTTCCGGTAAAGAAAACTGATTTGATTGCTCACAAGTTCTTAAAAATTAATTCTTCATACTTTAAAAGTATAATAAACCTTTATAAAAAACATTGAAATTTTTGAGAATTGTTGTGGGTTTAATTGGTGAGATTTTGAAAAATGGTTTTGTAAACTTGGACTCCACAGCGGGAATCATGGTTTAAAATAATTCGTTAGCATTTGTATTAGGGGTTTCTCATAACTCGGCTTCGGAAACCATGGTAAGAAGGGTAAGGAGCCAGCCTCTTAACAACATCAGAGAGTGATTTTAAAGAACGTAGACACACACCACATCTTAGTAAACCATTTATTTCGTTGAACAATAATTAGAATCTAAGGTGAAAGTTTATGAAAGAGTTGCTCTGTAATGTACTAGTCTGATGGACGTCTAGAGTTTGATTGCCAAACACTCACCCACGCCCACCAGTACAAATACCAGTGCTCGAGAGCTTGGGACATGTCACTAGTAAGTGTGGCTCGATTTATTCGATTTATTTTGGCTCATGATCGGAATATCGACCACAAACATCAGTTTACTAGTGTAATCAGCCTGCTTAGAACATAAAAATGCGTCAGCGTGCGTTAACACCAGCATGTACAATAATAATAGCAAAAGTGATACCTTGAAATTTTCTTTTCGGTTTAGACTCGTCAATAAGGTGGTGCAATAATTACAAGTCTTGATTTGGAATACATGCCTGAAGTGACCTGTTGTTACTTCACATGTCCGCTTGTTTTCTGTAATCCTTTGTTCTATTCAATAGGCGTAGCCTAAACTCGATCTTGAACTAAAGTTTCAATAAGGTTTAGAAGATGAGAGGATGGTAACTGGTGGAATTACATTTTGAAGGTTTAGTATAGACCGAGGTATTGTCCTAGCTAAATCCTATCATATTGAAAAAACTTTAAGGAAAATTTATTCAAAAATATATAGCCCAAGTTTTGAAAAAGTAAATCTACAGCTTTTACTTTTACTATTACTTCAACATGCAAGATGGTTATCAGATAAACAGGAATGCCCAACATATTATATTCCATGTCAACCACAGGAGTTACAATTTGTGAATCGAGGGAAAACGTTAGAAAAATAATTACTGGATGCTGAAAATCCAGAAAATATTTCCGTTAATTGACCCCTAACTAGGAGATTTATGCAACAGCACCCAGAAATAGGTAACAACGCTACGAATCAATTCAAACCAGCAGGTCCTTTTAACGCTAGAAGAAAAAGACGACCTAGAAGAGGACGTCCAGCTAGATCTTCGATAGCAGCAGGAATATACTATGATCGCATAAATCATATCAAATGTTAAATGATGTACATTGAAGCCATATTAGTAACGTACCACCAGCAAACACAGCAGCTGATAGACTGAAAAGTAGGAGTACTTTTAGATCTAAAAGTTCACATATCATTTCTCTTAGAAGTACACGAAATATTTCGTCGCTTAGTACTAAGAAGGTGACGACTATTATACAAAACTGGAATATCCCCGTAGTGACGAAGCGCAGCAGGAGGGTGGGCGAGGGCGACTACTATATATACAAGAAGAATCGAAAATCTACTGTAATCGTCTGATTGTTTCTAGTTACATCAATCAGAAGGTACTGCAAGACTTGTATAAAGGTACCTGCATACCAAGACTTAAAAAAAACATAATTGGTGTGGGAGGAAGAGCGGTGAAAGTGTTAAAGTGAAAATTTAGAAAATTTGATTTGTTGGGGCCGGTGGGGATAAATTTCCACCGCTATTTACCTTCTGCATTCTCACTTTAATTACGCGTCGAATGATACCTCAACGCAAAACAAAATTTTGGCGAACTTCTCAAAATAAAAATCTTATTTTATTTGTCAGTTTGTCCCTAAACGTATTTTTTAGAGTCCTGAAAATTATATTCGATGTTAAACAGCTCAATATAAGAAACATTAGTTTAACCACCTTGGAAAAAACTATCTAGTTAGCTAGCTAGTTGTTAAGGTATTTTGAGATGCTTTGCACGCCTTTCTGACATGATTTGTAAAAAGCCACCGTTTAAAAATTATGTGCCAAAGTTTTTTTTATTCAGATTTTTTCAACTTTTTTTTGATTCCTCAAAAACTGCTCTAAGGATTTAAATTAAATTTTAAGGTGTTTAGCCCTTAAGATTTATCAACGTTTGACATACGACACACATGGTAAACTCTACGAGTAAGGGGTATAGTATAGTTTTTATGTCATTGAGTGACGACACAACAAAAGGAATCCAATGACTTTTACAAAACACACTTATGGTTTTTATACCTGTTACTCGTATTGTGTTTGGTGAAAAGTATAAGACAAGTAGGCGTTTCCGATGCCATAAAGTATATATATTCTTGATCAGGATCACTAGACGAGTCGATATAACCATCTCCGTCTGATCGTCTCCGTGCTAACGCTGTGATTTCGGAAACTTCAAGGGATAGAAAGATGGTATCCAGCATACAGATTCTAAAAGTTTCTTCGCAGCGTAAGTTTTGAATCCCCAAGTGCAACGCCCTCAAAAACCCAATGCTAAAACCTGTCTGGCTTGAACATTTTCAAAGGTGTAAAATTAATTTTGTTTTGATTACCAATATTGGTAGGTAGGGCTAGTTTCCTGATAATTTAAATTCAACCATTCAAAGCTCTGATTTTGGCCGGTACAGTACAGCGTCGTAAAAAGATTTGAAAGGGATGGGTGTTCTACAATTCTCTGTTACGCCACAGCGTGAGCTGGGGAGGGTAAATGAAATTCTGCGATTGGTTCATTTTAATGATAGGGGTTGGAGAAAGTATATATTCTGTATATTGCTTTACATGCATAAGAATACTTACCACTACTACTTTCGGCGCGCTGCAATGCAATATGCCTATGTAGGCAATTAGCTGCTCGGTTTTGATAAAGCGTGCTGAATGAGACAAATTTAGAAAGTGTATTTATTTAATAGATCGCATAACACGCTTTCGTCATAAAAGTTGATATCAGAACAGAATAAGAGCTATAATGTTGGGATTAAGCGTGCAGATTCTTGGGTTTCCTGCGCAGCGAAAGTTCGTTTCATCGGAGTGCCACGCTCACTCTAATGCTCATATCTCTAAACCTTTCTAGCGCCAAAATTTTTCCAAACTTATTTTTGGCTTAAATTAAAATTCATTTTATTAAAAAATACCTGTCTACAATACCTAACCAAGACATTTTAAAATCCAATAAATAACAAAAGCGTTTCTACCGATATTTGGTCTACGGTTCGGTGCGCCAAAAGAATTAGTTGTACATTTAAATAATAATATAAGTCTTTTAAATTTTAGTTTCTTCTTCTCCTCAAGATTTTTGAACCTAATGGCTCTAATTAAAACTTCAAAAATGTTAGTTTAGTAAATTTTCTAAAAAATTCGGGGATTATTTTTTTTAAGAATGATAAAACATTTTCTTTACGCTGTAAAATTATGCAGGCGAAGCTGGCAGCACTGCATGTAAGAGGAAAATAAAGTTTTTGTATATTATTAAATTAAAATTTAACATTTTTAGAACCTAATGAAATATTTTTGATTTTTTTTTCCCCAGTTAAGGTACACATTTATGCATAAATAACAAAAGCGTTTCTACCGATATTTGGTCTACGGTTCGGTGCGCCAAAAGAATTAGTTGTACATTTAAATAATAATATAAGTCTTTTAAATTTTAGTTTCTTCTTCTCCTCAAGATTTTTGAATCTAATGGCTCTAATTAAAACTTTAAAAATGTTAGTTTAGTAAATTTTCTAAAAAATTCGGGGATTATTTTTTTTAAGAATGATAAAACATTTTCTTTACGCTGTAAAATTGTGCAGGCGAAGCTGGCAGCACTGCATGTAAGAGGAAAATAAAGTTTTTGTATATTATTAAATTAAAATTTAACTTTTTTAGAACCTAATGAAATATTTTTAATTTTTTTTCCCCAGTTAAGGTACACATTTATGCATTATGATCCAGTGAATGTAAAATCATCTTTGGTAATAGTCTAGAATAGTGACCTGTGCCCAATAAAAACCTTTTTCTTAATATGCGTGGCTTTCAATATAACAAGGAAAAACGCTTAAGTCGAGTACCTAGAATATCAAATATCCGTTACTCTTTTAAGGGGAATAAAGCGAGATTGTAATGCGCCCCACCTACCCGCGATCTCAATATATGGTTACGTGGGCGGTACACAGATTTAAGCGTTATGGGCGTTAGAGTGGGCGTGGCAAATTTTTTTTAACCAATCGATAGGTATTGACGAGATTAATACATTTCAGTTAAAATTTTTTATCTAGCATGGAAATTGTGGGCGTCAAAGGCTTGGGCGGTTTGTGGGCGTTAGAGTGGGAGTGGCATATTCGCGTAACAAACTTGGGTTGCGCTCAGGACTACGGAATCTACATCTGAGATCCCAATTCTCTATCTTTGATAGTTTCCGAGATATCCAAGTTCATATTTACGATTTTTTGAAGTTTGTGGGCGGTTTGTGGGCGTTAAAGTGGGCGTGGCAAACTAAACTAACGGTTATAAAAAGATTAACAAAAGAATACGGTTATATCAACTCAACCGCCAATAACAAAGTGAACGTGCAAGTGCAACCTGAGGAAAGCCACGTCGTCACCAATACAAAGTATACGATGATCTTTGTTCATTTCCTCCATATTTATACCCGTTACTCGTAGAGTAATGGGGCATACTAGATTCGTCGAAAAGACTGTAACAGGCAGAAGGAAGCGTTTCCGACCCCATAAAGTATATATATTCTGATCAGGATCACTAGCCGTGTCGATCTTGCTATGTCCGTCTGTCCGTCTGTCCGTATGAACGCTGTGATCTCGGAAACTATAAAAGCTACAATACTGGGATTAGGCATGCAGATTTCTGAGATTCCTGAGCAGCGCAAATTTGTTTCAGAAATGTGCCACGCCCACTCTAACCGCTCAAAGCTGTGGCTTTTGATGCTAGAATAAGAATTTTAACTGAAATGTATTGTTCTCATCAATACCTATCGAATGTCCAAAAAAAAAGTTTGCACGCCCACAAACTTCTAAAAATCGTAAATATGAACGCGGATATCTCGAAAACTATGAGAATGGAGAATTGGGATCTCAGATTTAGATTCCGTAGCCTCAGCGCAAGTTTGTCACGCAAATATGCCACGCCCACTCTAACTCCCAAAAACCGACCAAGCCTGTGGCGCCCACAATGTTCATGCTAGATACAAAATTTTAACTGAAATGAATTGGTATTGTCAATACCTACCGAATGATCCAAAAAAAAGTTTGCCACGCCCACTCCAACGCCCACAAACCGACCAAACCTGTGGCGCCCACAATTTTCATGCTAGATACAACATTTTAACAGAAATGTATTGGTCTCGTCAATACCTATCGATTGATCCAAAAAAGTTTGGTACGCCCACTCTAACGCGCATAAAGCTTAAATCTGTCAACCGCCCACATAACCACATATTGAGATCACGGGTAGGTGGCGCATTTCAATTACGCTTTGCTGCTTGCATTTCTCCATTTCCCTTTGGTATCTGATAGTCGAGGTACTCGACTATAGCGTTCTTCCTTGTTTCATATAATGTCCGTATCCTTAAACTTCAAGCACTTTGTCAGTCAGTTGTTCCACACCTTGCAAATCTGTTAGTAAAACAGCGCGGACATGTTGTGGCAGACTCTGCACCCAGGGGGACTTTAATTACTCATCACTGACACGGTTGTCAGTCAGATTACGAAGTTCATTGAGCAGCTGCGATGGTCGTCGGTCTCCTAAGTTCACTCCTCAGTGGCCCCGGAACTGAAAGACATCGAAAATATTTGCAGAATTGTTAAAAAACAATACATTTAATGCAAAACTGCCCTCGAGTTCCTAGTGTCTAGTGACGTCAAAGACGGCCATTGTTGTTGCAGCCAAATCTTTGGAACAATTTTTTTTTACTTTAAGGGGTTACATAGGGTCTAAAAGAAATTATTAAATCAATTATTTTATTAGGGAAAGTGGTCAGGCTTACACTCCAAAAACTTCATTCGATCGGATCAAAATTTAAGAGTTATGGTACTTGAAAGTTAGTTCTTAAGATCGCTTAGGCTGACGTTATGCACTTAATCGCATTTTTTTCAAGATCATGACTTGCAAACCGGACACGAAAATGGAATGGGTATTTTTTAAACCCGTTTTTCGTACAGTAAAGGATGTATTAGAACAGGAAGCAGGTACAAGGAAGCGTTTCCGACCCCATAAAGTATAATAAAGTATTATTATCTGTCTGCCGTGGAGGGGCAGATCTCGTCACGGAAAGCCGAGCGGAACTTCTTTAGATCGGTGCGCGGTCACGATCCCGTCAATACCCACTTCATCGCCTAAGCCTGACCAGTGCACACGCGTAGACCTTGGTTATTTCGCATCTTTTTGGTTTTTGTAATTGGAGTGCGCACCAGGTGGCGCCTGTGCAATACCGGATGTTGTTGTCAGAGGAAACAGAAGAAGAAAAGAAAAAGAGGACAAGAGAAACCAGGCAGCTGGGCTCTCAAAGTCTCATTTTGGCGCAGCTTGAAGCGTTGCCACCTGGCCGACAATCGAAAGTCCAAAGGCTTTTGGCGACTTTCGTTACATTGCCGCCTCTCAGACTCGAGCCTTCTGGACGTGTACGGCTGGACTTGGGCCTGGGCCAATCGGTTGAAATGGACAGTTCTGGTGGCACGCTTCCCTGGCAGACGTATCTTGTACACTAGGTCAGTGTGACGGCTGGTGACGAGGGCAGGTCCAAGGTCAGGTAGTCTCGGTAGGTCCGATTAATGCTATCCACCATTCCGGCCTATTGAGGGTATGGTTCAATTCTTCTCCAAGTCGAAGAGGCGTAGGCAAGCTTGAAATACCTCCGAATCAAAGTTGTGGTTTTGGTCCGAGTGAAGGATAAATGGGGCACCAAAACAACAAAAAACTTCTTGAATGAGTGCTCGAGCTACCGTCTCGACGGTTTGGTTGTGCAGATCTATGCAGTCCGGTCATTTTTTTAAGTAGCACATCACCACAGCGATGTTGCGGCTGCCGAGTTTGGTAGTGAACAGAGGACCGAGTATGTCGATCGCAAATGGAGTACTTAGGACGCGGGGATGTAGTTGACCCAGGGTACGGCGAGTAGGTCCTTTTCTGGCATTGCCACGTCAGCAGTTTGTCTTATCCAAAGTAACGTTGCTTGAGCTTGGCGACTGTTTTCTTAATTCCGAAATGACCGCCAGTGGTAGAGTTGTGGACACTGGGCAGAGCTTCCTCCTGATGAGAGCGAGGTACTACAACGACTAAGTCCGCTGTTTTGGATTTAATCATTAGAGGACCCTTTATCATGAAAAGGTGTTCAAACAAATGCCAATACGCTTTCATCTCGGGGCTCTCGCTCCATGTTGTGGATTTAGTAGGTCATTCTCCTCTTTTTAACCACTGCAGGTTCAATGACAAAGTGGGATCTTTTTCCTGGCTGCCAGCAATGTCGATTGGTTGGGCCTGTAAGAACAAAATTCCTTGGTCATCATTTTATTCTGCCTTAGTGTATAGGCGGCATTCACCGCATGGACGGCGAGTCGGCGTTTCCATGCAGCTTCCCACTGCGGTGCTGAAAATCTATGATGTATTGCTAGAGACGTGATGTGCAGCGAGCGAGTTGTCATTCGGGTTCTCGAAAGTTAAACAGCCATCGGAGAGACGAGTGGTCCGTGCGCAGCAAGAATTTCCGGCCATATATGTATGGACGGAACATCGGCTAGCAGCTTTCTCCTAGTTACGCAATAGTTTCGTTCAGCAGCATTAAATGATTTGCTGTAATACTCCAATACATGTTCCAGTCCTTCTTGCTGTTGAGTGAGCATGGCGCCCGCGCCACGGTTTGACACATCTGTATCCAGAATGAATACCCCATTGGGAGCGGGAAACGGTGCTGCCTAGTAAAACTTTTGGGTGGCAATGGGGAGTGAGCTCCACGTTCCAACAGGGCTGCGGGAAGCTGCTCTTGACATGCTCTACGGTTGCCTTATATTGCAGTAGGAAGTCCATCCAGGGATTTGGGATCAAACGGCCTTCTGGCAATAACAAGTCTGGCGTCGACTCGGGCGGTTGCCATGAATTTCTCTGCTGTTGCCCCTGTTGAGTCACTCGGCAAGGTGCACTGGGTAGTAGCTTTAGCATATCCCTCTCGTTTCGGAGGGACACGGCAGCACCAGTGTCGACGATCAGCTGTATAGGATGTATCTGTAAGAAGATCAATCAATGTAAATGTTGGCCTCCAACGGCACTAAAGGTAAACGAAGCTTCGGCATCTCAGGTGGAACCGGTTTTTTTGGGAGGGGTGGCGGTCCGCAAGCGATCTCGCCGGACGGCTGCTCCTGAGTCAGCTGTAAATGAACGGCATCTGCTTCCTCTGAAGGTGTCCCAGCACCGGCAGCTACGGGGTGGACAGTGCTCGACGATTGAGAACTCGTCGGTCTGCGTAAGGTAGGGGCGTTACGAGGTGCGGCAAACTCTATTGTACCTAAGGGTGCTCAACATGACCAGCACCCAACAAATCAAGCAAGTTGGGAACAGTACCAGGCACTCAGTAGCACCCACTGCAGATGAGAATTGCTGATCAGCAACGACTCAACGGCACACTGACCCGCCAATGCAGTCAGCACATTTTGCAGTGTCAGCCGAGCCAACTACGCAAGCTGCTACCATAATCAAAATTCCCTGACCTACTTTAGAATATAGCTTATTTCACTAATCATTACACTAAACTTCAGTTTTCCAAGTAGTATATAAACATGTATCAAATTAAGAATAAATCAGTTATCAACGCAACTCTTAGCTCCGCGGTTCTACTTTCCTCCTCCGGAAATAGAGCTCGTAATCCTACACTATCTCAACTAGCAGCTAACCTACGTTAGCTCAACCTCAGCGCAGTTCCAGCTTCGCCTGTGGTCCGGCATCGCAGTAGCCATCGATGCCATTGCCGCGACGCAATCGTCCTGCCAGCAAAGCGTCCCCGTGCCAGCTACAAGTCCTCATTTGCCACTTGTCCCGCGGTGTGACCCAGAAGTGTCTACTTCGGTTAGGCACAAACATCTACTTCCTGAGGCTTAGCGTTACTCTCTTTGGCCGGCGGCTCTAAGGCAAGGGGGCACGATGGCTTCCACACCATTTGGAGGAATATGCCAAATTTCTCGATGGGCTTCGGCTCCTGGTACGGCTGCGAACGGACGCAGTTCACAATTTATAACTTAATTAAATATAAAAAAAATCAGAATACTATAACATATAGCTGCCGTTCCTATGGCAAAACGGATAATTAATGAAAAAAATAGTGAAATAATTACAAGGGCCTACAGACAAAAAGTTCAGCTATAAAACCACATTTTCTAAACTGGTTTGGTATCCCCACACACGCTGGAGTCACTCCCAAAATTTTCCAAAGAATTGTTCTTGAGAAATTCGGGAACGATGTTGATGTTGACAGGTAGCTTAAATCTTAGAACTCAAAATTCAGTCCTTTGGCAACTAGGAAAGTAAATATTCTAGTCGGCATGTGTATTTTGACGAAATAAAACTTAAGTACACACAAGATTTAAATAACTACATATATATTTTGGCGTTAATGGAAAGGTCATTTTAATTCTGACCAATATTGCATATATTGCTTATTAACGAACCCAACGATATAGGTACTAATATGACTCTTCCTTAATTAATGTCTTCGTGGCAGCAATATTCTTGAAACTACGGGCACTTATTTATCTCACTGGTACGGGAACATTTTGTTCAGTCAGAAATTTGCAACGCAGTGAGAGAGACGTTTCCGACCCCATAGAGTATTTATATATTTGATCAGGATCACCAGACGAGTCGATAAAGCCATGTCCGTCCGTTCCCATAAGAATAATTTTTTAATTAGTTCTGAATTTCGAAATTTATTTTATCAAAATTGAACGACTATATCATATAGCTGCCATAGGAACGATCGGAAAATTGGGGGGAAAATAATATGATATTTGTTTCATATTATAGCTTCGGCGTCTTTGACATATTACCTTATAATACTGGGAATATCATTTTTTGAATTTTTAAAAATTTTAAGAATTATAACTGCAAGTGAACACAAACTTCGGCTTGCCGAAGTAAACTTCCTTTCTTGTTTAAGTTGACTCCACTGACTTTAAATTTAGGTAGTAAATGCTAATAATTTCGAAGAGAAATCGGAAAAGATCGGGAGAAAATTTGGCGTCGTTCGCTGTCTCTACTTTTCTAGAATCCTTATCGAAAAACCCGTTAGTTGTATAATACAAGTAAGTATCAGCGCCATAACATCCTGTTGAGCAGGTATTCAAGCATCGTCGAAGTTGCATGGGTACGTGACAGATGGATGAAGCGGCGTCATCCTTGATGTGCATAATTGCCCTTTGGAAGTTCCCGATTTACGTTCTTTTCAAATGGTATATAAGACTATTAGCAAGACTAAAATTGCTAAGGCAGAATATGCCACAATTCGACGATGCTACAAGCTACTTAGTTGATCAGCCAAATTTTTATGATCGACCGGTTACAAGTTTTTATGGATCGTTCAACTTTTTATACGTTGATTCTGTGCCTTAGTCCCCCTGAATAGTAATAGTAATACAATCAGCGTCCATTCCGAGACCATAACCCGGGAGGTCACACGTTATTCATAAAATATTCCAAGATTATTAGCAAACCGAGTTTGTTGGCTTTCTCAGGCAGGGGAAGGATTAAGAGTAGCTCCCGTAGTGTTTACATCGAGCTGCCGATCACTA